ATCCATCCTTCAACGATTTTGATTGTTTGTTTGTTTGTTTGTTAAAAAATGCCACAGCTGAAAAGTGGGATTTTATTAAAAAAAAAAAAAAGTTTCCTCTACTTCGCCTTTGGACATGACATCCATGTCATCCATTATTTCTCTCTTTCTTTCTTTGGTCACTTATTTAGTTAGTTATTCATTTCTTGATTTGTTTGACTGATCGATCAATCTATTATTCATTCATTTATCCATCCATCCATTTATTTGTTTGTTTCATTCATTCATCTATCCATCCATTTATTTGTTTGCTTGGTTCATTCATTTATCCATCCATGCATGCATCCATCCATCCATCCATCCATCCATCCAGCCAGCCATTTGTTTGTTTCATTCATTTATCCATCCACCCATCCATCCATATAAAAAAAATAATTGTTCCTCTACTTTGCCTTTGGACATGACATCCAGTTCTTTCTTTTCTTTCTTTGTTTGTTTCTTTGTTTCTTTCTTTGGTCACTTATTTCGTTAGTTATTCACTTTTTGATTTGTTTGATTGATTCCTTCATTTATCCATCCATCCATTTATTTGTTTGCTTGGTTCATTCATTTATCCATCCATCCATCCATCCATCCATCCATCCATTTGTTTGTTTCTTTCAATTATCCATCCATCCATCCATTTGCTTGTTTGTTTTTAAAATTCCACAGCTGAAAGGGGAGATTTTGAAAAAAATATATATTTCACCTCTACTTTGCTTTTGGACATGACATCCAGTTGTTTGTTTGCTTTTTTGTTTAATCGATCGATTGATTTATCTATCTATCTAAATCCCACAGCTGAAAAAATGGAAATTTTATTTTTAAAAAAACATCATTTTTACTCCACTTTGCCTTTGGACATGACATCCAATTAGAGGTATTGCTGTAGCGAGAATGGTGCATCTCATATTTTTTTAGACTATGCCCTAAGAGCATGTTGGAAATATTGCCCAACACACAAACGCATGTGGATAAATAAATAATGACGCACCGAGTCAGACGTGAACCCACTGCATCGCTTTCATTTTCCCCCTGCCACCACATAACTCTCTGCTCCTCTCCTCTTCTGTGCTTTTAAGTAGAAATATGCATACCAATTAACCAGCACTCTCTTCATCCTTCCTTTCCTGATTCATCTGAAGCCAAACACACAAACACTCGCACACACTCACACACTTAGACACACTTGTGCACAGAAAGGTTCTCTTTGAGCATGATGTATGGAAAGATAGATCTTGCTCTCTACACCCGACCCGAGAGACAAATAAGCTATTTACTTTCTCATCACTGGGCTGGCAGTATACACAGCGGGTCAATCAGACTGCAGGACGTGTGCGAGTGTGTTTGGAGTGCTAAGGTGGGAGTGTTTATCTGCGTGTGCTTGTGTGTGTGTGTGTGTGTGTAGCACAGGCCATGAATCCAGCTTGATCAGAAAGTTTTATCAGCTCTGATCCTCCCCTGATTTCCTCATTTTTTCCCTGCAAACATTTTTACGCTCTTTCATAGAAAACGTACATTTACGGCATTCGGCGGACACACCTATCCCCAGCAACTTATCGCATTTATACAACCGTGCAGTTGAGGGCTAAGGGCCTTGCTTAAGGGCCCAGCAGAGGCAGATGGGTGGTGATGGGATTTGAACTCACAACATTCCAGTCAGAAGCCCAATGTCTTAAAGCACTGAGCCACTACTACTACCACATATACAGGATTGCATATCTGCACGTTCAATGAACATTTTGCATTATTACATTATCGTTGCGATCCAATGCTGAAAAACGGAGCGGTCCTTCGGCGGACAGTCGGCTGAGAAACTCTGACAACACTCACCTAGCCCGAGTTCTCTGATACAAACACAACAATAAGGTGGCGCACAGTCACCCGTAAACAGTTGCATCCAGTAATCGCAATGTTTTGCAATTGCAATTAGAATACAGCAGGAAATACGAGTGAGCTGTTTGGTAATTAATCAGTGACTGCTTAAGAATATACAGCCATTTAGAAATTGCACCAGTAAATGTAAATATGCAACTAAGCAAAGTTGCCATTTTTATATCATCAACGCATAATTAACTCTTATCATCTCTAACGTCGAGGTCTTGAGCTTCTCGTTTGTTATTAAATGATCTAGCTATTTTGAAGAGAACGTGAGAATAAGTGACCTAGGTTACATAAGTTATATAATAAGTTATAAGTTATATAACAGACTGTCACACTCGTTTTGAAGGAAATGGCCGCGATATTAAATTTTTGCAGCGCTGTTGAAATTCTAGATTCTGATTGGTCAGAAAGTGTTGATTGATTTTCCATAACAGGTTTATGATAATGCTAATTCTAATATGTTATCGTATCATGGGTGGATGGTTCACATATTCTCTGAACGGAGTTGTTTACTTAGCATTTTTGGAAGGAGTCTCCAGTGTCAATGATTTGTAAGAGTCAGATGTAAAGCTGTAGCTACGCCGTAAATAAGATTTCCTCTATAGGAAAGTCTTCAGGACAGAAGACTTTGCCCTTGACTTTCTTGCTAATATGACAAGCTGCATTTTTTCGTCTTATTAACTTCAAGATAGAGAAAATAATAAAAAGGGAGAGGGGGTCGGGGTGGCGGTGAGGGAACGAATGTTTACAGCTGCTATATCATAAGTGTTAACAAGAACTGACCTGTTTTGTCGATGTGACAAAACATTAAACGTAACTCTAAACGGAAAGAAAAGGTACAATGTGTCGTTTCTAAATATATAAAAAAAATAGTCTAGAAGAATAATTCTGTTATTCCGTTTCACATCAGGCCGCATCACACCATTACGTCACGGCTTATTTTCGTATAACCAGCATCATCTCGTGATTGTATGAATATTCTCACACAAGAGAACATTTTAAAAAGCTAATGATAGGTTTAGATTAGTACTGGGGACAATGTTCACCGATTCATTCACAAAATCGTTCCACCTGATTACGATTCTATGAATTTTTTCCACAAGATTAGGTTCGGTCTTTAAGTCCACTATTAATTGTTATAGCTCTTTTTAATGAGAAGACTCTCCCTGAACGTGCTCTTTAATAGTTTTTCAAGCAGGCCTTGTGAAATATGGCCCCTTTTCAATGTTGCCTTGTTATTCAATCTCTTTATCCATTAAACTCTGACAATCCGCCTCTGTAGTTCTGAACAAACCCGGTGCAGGTAATCCGAAGCCGAGGCAAACTTTCCATAATGGACAATCCTTGCTGTGTTCTCTGAAGACGGCTACCCTTTGAGGCTTATGTTCTCCCAGTGCGCCGCTCAAGTTCCTCTTGTATTGTTTAATAGCCTTTTCTACCTACGAGGACACCTGATATGTCCATTAAGCAGTCCAGTGGTTGCGGTGTGTGCCGTCTGTCAGGCGAGCAGTGGACTGTGATGCTGTGAGGGTGTTAAAATCCCAGCCAGGAAAAAAAAACAAAAAAAAAAACAACAAAACAAAACAAAACAAAAAAAAAAGCAAGGATTTTACGCCTCCCATCTGTCATGTGCAACAGTGCACGGCATTTCTCCCACATGCACTCATGAAGGTTTTTAATTATTCGCTCAGGTTCTTGTGCAAATGGATTTGGACACGGAGCATGATTGCGTCAAAGTAGATGCTTGCAATCTTGTGTTTTGGATACGTGTACATTCTTAGGGTGGGGACAAGGTTATTCAGCATTCGAATGAAATCTAGAAAAAGCACATGCTCTTGCTTATTCGAATTCCTGTGAATTTCATGTGCGCAGCTTTGAATTCACGTGTCCCCAAAGATCTTTTGCATTTCTTCGATCATTTTTAGATCACACTGAACCAGAATTTTTTACTTTTATACATTTCTGAATGTGGAAAAAAAAAACATCTCAGGGTTTGTCATGAATTCCTCTTATGCTTTTGTTTGCACTGCCTTTGTTGTTTTGTTTCTGTTTTGGTCCTGTCCTTTCACTGATTAGTTGCCCTATTGTGTTCAGCTGTTATGTGTGTTTTTCTTCAATTAATTAATTTGTCTGTATGTTCTAGGAGTTTAACGCAATGCCACTGTATTTGTTTAGTGCGCTAAGTATTCTTTTCTGCATGTTTATTCGTATTGAAACCAGAAGTGGGCATGAGTTAGACTGGGAGCTTTGCCCAGAAAACTCTGGAAAACAAAAGAAGACATCCTTTTTTTTTTTTTTTTCATTTACAAATTATAACAACAAATAGCAATTTGTATTTGGTTCAACTCCTGAACCAGATGATCTGTGGAACTTTCTGCCAAGCTTTCTATCTTTCCGTTTAATGTGACTAAGTAAGCAAACTGTTGTTGACAACAATAGGCATCTAATAATTTATAAGATTTACCTTCAGTTTGAGGATTTTTACATTCCAGAAAGATGAGGAATGTTCGCTTGTCATGCTATCAGAATGTATAACAAATCTGGGATGCACTTGCAGTACAGCTGAGAGTCAAAATAGGGTCCTTTATAGGGTCCTATACATATTTGACTAATGATGCAAAAATGATCACTTACGTTAAGAAACATGCACAATGAACATACAAGTTGATCATTGTAATACGTTATAAGGGGCAGCAGATTTATAAATGAATCAGAAATGCGTGCGCACCACAGTTCCCCTTGCAATGAGTGAGAATAAAGCAATAAAGTGTCCCTTGTTCAATGCCCAAACCTTTTATCCTACAAATTTAATCCTTTTATCCTACAAATCTTTTTTGTGTGTGTGTGTGTGTGTTGAAATTAATTGCTGAAACCTGGCAACCTTCAAAAAAGTACTTCCTCACACAACTTTTTTATTTTGTCCTGCAGGATAACAGGCCTGATTTACACCCCTAGTTTCCATGTGAAAAAAAAAAAAAAAAAGAATAACATACCTTTTATTCGTGCCTGTATTTGTATTCGTTTTGAACGAATCATTTGTTCAAGCTGAATACTGTATACCTCAAATTTAAGTCTGAGACTTGGTTTCTTGTCCCAGATCCCTGGAGGACTAGTGGTTAGGCCACAGCGTGCTGACTGCTGCAGCCCGGATTCGATTCCTGGGCAGGGAACCAACCCCAGCCACTGGGGTAGCATGCAACAGTGTGCTCTCAGTGCCGCTCCCAAGCCCGGATAAAACTGGGGAGGGTTGCATCAGGAAGGGCATCCGGCGTAAAAACTGTGCCAAATCAAATACATGGACCAATGATCCGTGGCAACCCCTATCAGGAGCAGCCGAAAGAGGAACAACAACAACTTGGTTTCTTGTCCCCATGTTTGTTCCAGTTTTTGGACTCTTGCTTGTGTTTTGATTTTTCGACTTTTTTTTTAAATTTATGGATTATCCACGTTTGATGTTGCCTGCCTGCGTTTTGACCTAGGGGTCAAAACTGTTTACGCACCAATTACGACTCTTGGATTGCCTCAATTAAGGAACACGCTGAGTTTACACACTTGCATTCTGCCTTCACTCACCGCATGTCACAGGTTTCTTCTAAAGCCAGTGTTATCCCTGTACTGAAAATAATCGAAAATAATTTCAAGTTGATTACCATCAAGCTTATTTTTTAAAATGATCCCTGATTTTGCAATAATTTTACACATCATTTAAATAAATTGGAACATTTGTTCAGGCAACATGAACACTTTTTTTTTTTCTATCCAAGATTGACACACATACACAATTATAAGCAAACACATGCTAATTCAAATCTGCCAGCAGTGGCGTCTTCATCCAACATGAAAAAAAAAAAACACACACAGATCTTAATTTGGTGATATTGAGAGAAATGATATGTTTTTATCCAATCATACTGTATCTTTCAGCACACACAGCTGTTCATTCAAGAGTTTTGCTACAACTTGTAATAAAAGTGAGGGAATGTGTGTGTGTTTGAGAGAGAGAGAGAGAGAGAGAGAGAGAGAGAGAGCGCAAATGTGAGAACTTCCACAGCTTTCTCTCGAAAGTAACAAATGCATCATCATTGGTTTGACAGCTTCCAATCCAAATGTATTATTGTAATTTTACATTTTCACATTTAAACTGTCAAACACGTGTCTGCAATTCCTGAAGTCTGAACTCCCATGATACACATCCCACAACCTCATCGCATGACCTTCAGGTATCTCTGCTATATCCAAAGTCAAAAAGTTTAAGATCCTGGACTCTCAGTGTTACTTTTTATGATGTCCAGCACTGTGTCTGTGTGTTTGTGTTTGTCATGTGCCTATCTTGATTAGTGTTCAGTCATAGCCTGCTTCTTCTTACTGATTGTCTAGTCGCAACAGAAAAGTGTTATCATCAGAGATCGTGAGTTCGAATCCTGATAATGCCGTAACCATCCAGGGCCAAGAGTTCAAGGGGTGGAGGGATGGCATACTCTCTCAGCTGTCAATCAGAACAGCACTAGAAAATCGTCTGTGTCTGGGCGCTCATGCATGTGGAAGAGGGCGGATAGCGCTTTCTCACAAGTGTTTAGCTGCCACGTGATGTGGCATGAGCAGCAGGTTGAAATGAGGTGGTGGCTGGCTTCACGTGTCTCAGAGGAAGCTACAAAATCGGGGAAATTAAATAAATATTGTCAGGTTGAAAATATTGACAAATATTGTCTGTGCACCTGCCTGTCCACTTCATGACACCAACAGTGAGACTCGATTTGGTCTGAAACCAATAACCCTGAGACTAGGGTGATTTTCACGATTAATTCGAATTAATGTTTTAACACGATTTTCAAAATGTTCTAATCGAGATTGTTCATGTTTATGAATATGCATGTTTAAATTTCTAATTAAAACATCCATAAATGCTCATTTAAACCAATTTGAAGGAAAAACAGCCTTCATAACCTGAGAAACACTTCCTACAGGCTGTGCTACTCCCAAACACTGCACGCTTAGATAAAAAAAAAAAAAAAACCAAGATAAACAGACAGTACTTCGCCAAGGACTGAGCTTGGTACAGGTTTGAAAAGTAGGATGCACAAGTTTATGTAAAATATAATGCTGCATTACAATCTAAGCAGTGATTCACAGGTCAAAATTACATCTGTTCATTAGTGCAACAACGTACACAAGACTTGCGTCAGATAGTATTACTTGGCATTGAGTGTTGGTATCTGAACTTTTTTTTACCAGTAACTGAGCATATTATCGGACACGGTATTGATACATCCTTTATAAAAACCTAATGATGTTCAGCACTACTTTATCAGCTGGATTCCATATTCTCTAAAAACTTCTTTAACTTCTCTCTACTTGGCTTATCCCAGTAACTGCTATGTCCATATATGGTATAAGCTTATCTGCTGAATACTATGTCATAGTATGTTACGTTTACATTCACAGCATTTTTATTATATTGTTATTCTCTTGCATTACCTGTTACATCTGACATTCTCACACTAGAACTGTGTACTGGTCGGCGCTGAACTGTCTCTTACTGTGCCTATTGTCCTGTTTTAGTAGTTATTGTACTGTCTTGTGCTGTTTGCACACGTTTGCACGTGCACTTTATGTAGTATTGTATAGTCTCATGTAGCTCTGTGTTGTTTTATGTAGCACCATGGACCTGGAGGAACGTCGTTTCGTTTCACTGTGTACTGTACTAGCTGTGTATGGTTGAAATGACAATAAAGCCACTTGACTTGATTTAAATTTTTCCCCCCAAAAAAAGACAGATGTATTTTTGACCACCTCTTGAGGTTGTTTTCTTTCCGAACCTTTGATTACAATCCTTCTGTTTTACTTCAATGCCATTATAATTGAGGCTGAGTGGTTTCCTAAAGCTTCCCCGAACAATCACGTCTCTTTCTTTCAGCGCCGTGGAGCTCACAGCGCTTCCTGAGTGTGTGCATATTTTCAAGTGTGTGTCAGGTTAACGGGTTAGGTGGTTATGAGTAGTTCTCTCCCTCAGATGTGGTCTGTTTGTGTAAGTGTGCTTCACCCTACCTGCTCTAGAACATCGGAGCCTCGATGTGACGCCTATCGATTTGTGCTACGGTGATGCTTTGTTATGACAGTCTACTCAGTGCCGTCCATTACAACGTTTTTTTTTTTTTTTTTTCCTTTCTGTTTATTTTTCTAAACTTCCTGCACAGGCTTGAGATAACACACAGTTACCGGTTGGCTGTATTTCACTACAGCTTAATATCTGTTAAATAATTCAGAATGAATAAACAGAATGGAACATTTATGGAGGTAATGAACGTGTATTTGACATTTATTTTGTAGAGTTTGTTCATAGATTTAATCTGAATGAATGATGTTAAAGCTTCTCGTTGCTGTGTTTATTAATGTTGTCAGATTTAACCTGAGGGTTGACACGAGTTTAACAGATGGAGGTGCAAATCTCGGATCATAAATCACTGCAGTGGAACAAGGACAGGGAATCTCGGTATACCTGGAAGAAAATAATAACATTCACGGCATAATCGTGCAGCATTACCATCTGTAGATAGATAGATAGATAGACAGATAGGTAGGTAGGTAGGTAGGTAGGTTGGTGGATAGATAGATAGATAGATAGATAGATAGATAGATAGATAGATAGATAGATAGATAGATAGATGACTTTGCCTAGAAGAAGCCATCCACCAAAGGGCAGTAAAGAGGGCATTAGTCAGAGAAGTAACCAAGAGGCCATGTGTAACGCTGGAGATATCCACAGGTGAGATGGGAGAAGTTGTTCACAGGTCAACCACAGCCTAGACCCTCAACGAAGCTGGCCTTTATGGAAGAGTAGCTCAAAAAATCTATTAAAAAAACATATGAAATGTTTCATGTTGAAGACTCAGCAAACAGCATCCCCTTAGTGAAGCATGGTGGTGGTTGTATGTTGTTGTGGGGATGCTTCTTATCAGCAGGGACTAGGAAACTGGTCACAGTTGAGGGCCTAATGGATTGAGCCAAATATGGGGCAGTCCTAGAAGAAAACCTGTTCCAAGACATGCTGCTTCACCTTCCTTTAGCTGATCACACTAATCACAGTAACCTGTGCTGATCACAGTAATGTTAGCTGATCCCAATATCCTTAGCTGATCGCAGTAAGGTCAGGTAATCGCAGTAACCTGTGCTGATCATAGTAACGTTAACTGATCACAGTAATGTTAGCTGATCCCAATATCTTTAGCTGATCGCAGTAAGGTCAGGTAATCACAGTAACGTGCTGATCATAGTAACGTTAACTGATCACATTAATGTTAGCTGATCCCAATAACTTTAGCTGATCGCAGTAAGGTCAGGTAATCACAGTAACCTTTGCTGGTCGAAGTAACGTTAACTGATCGCGATTATTTTAGCTGATCCCAATAACTTTAGCTGATCGCAGTAAGCTGGGGTAATCACAGTAATATTTGCTGGTCGAAGTAACGTTAACTGATCGCGATTATTTTAGCTGATCCTAAGAACTGTAGCTGATTGCAGTAAGGTCAGGTAATCACAGTAATATTTGCTGATCGTAGTAACGTTAACTGATCACAGTAATGTTAGCTGATCCCAATAATGTTAGCTGATCGCAGCAAGGTCAGGTAATCGCAGTAACCTTTGCTGGTCGAAGTAACGTTAACTGATCGCAATTATTTTAGCTGATCATCATAACGCCATCTGAACGCAGTAACCGTAGCCGATCACAGTAAGGTTACCTAATCGCAGTAATGTAACCTGATCGCATCAACTTTATCTGATGGCAATAACTTTAGCTGGTCACACTAACATTAGCAGATCTGCACAACGTGAGCTGCATTTCTGATGTATGATTTCTCAGCAGTCAGTGAGGAGATGCAACAGAGAGGAGGAGGAGGAGGAGGAGGACGGGCAGAAGCACAGTGAAAGAGAGATAAAACTATCAGTCAGAATGGCTGTGTAACATAACAGGGAGAAGCAGAGTGTAGCACATATTCAGCACTGTGCTCTGTTAAATATGAATATGAAGCGGGTCCTAGTTCTGCAACATGGACCTCGCTACCCTGGGGTTCCCATCTCGTGCGTCGGGAGCTGGCGCGCGTGCACGCCGCCCCGCGCGCGCCCTCGCTCCGGCTCCGCTCGGAGGCGTGGCCAAGCGGTACATGCCGCACGC